TCAAGGGGTCCCTAACAATGTCAGCATTGGTTGAAGTTCCGCAGTTATGGATGTAACCGCTCCGTCCTTATCAATGATTTTTCGTTGCTGATGGGGGCTGCCTATGGGAAACGAAAGGGTTGAAACCCTCAACAGCACAGCTGCGTGAAAGCCATCCCACTAGGTGGACATCATAAGGTAACAACAGTGACTAGAACATTGCAAGATAAAGGCCCATTCATTTTTCCCAGTGAGTCTGGACCCGTCTTCTTTAAAAGATATGTATAGACCTCCTTATCTTATCTAAAGCAAGAAGGCCAGAGTAAATGTTCTTGTCAAATTGCAACTTTTTTGTTTTGTTTTTTTTGACACAAGGTCTCACTATGCAGTTCAGGCTGGCCTTAAACTATGTAGCCCAGGCTGGTCTGGAATTCAAGGCCATCTTCCTGTCTCAGCCTCCTGCATGCTGGGTGTACAGGCATGTACCACCATGCTCAGCTCACCAAACTGCAACCTTAAACATAATTTTACAGGCAATGCGGGTGCTCCTGAAAGATCTCTATAGCGTTTTAGATCCAAAACAAGATGTTCTTTAGATAATCACATTTCCTGCTTAGACCCTCAACCCTTTATAAAATCACCAATCTCTCACCCTGACAGGGCAATTCCTCTCTTGGAAACTCAACCAGTGTCCCCTTTGACAGTGTACTCTGGCCTGAGTAAATTTTCATCTTACTCTTACCATTGCCTGGGTAAATTATTTCTGCCTCCTTCATCACCAACCCTCCAAACGCTGTCTTGCATGGCATTTCTGGTCAGCTGTTTCTGTAGTCCTCAGTTCTGCCGAGGGCCCTGGACCCTGAGCAGAGGAAGATGAGCTCAAATTTGATTTTCTTTTCTCACATCAGGTCAGAGAAATGCTTAGTCCCCCTGTGACCACTGACAGAATTGTTCACTGCTCCCGAGAGAGTCAGTTCTGGAGGCTCTGCTGGTTATGGCTTGAGGAACGAGTTTATCAGCTTGTATGCAAGGAGTTTGTGTTCTCAGTCGGCCATTACTGTCTAAAAAACAACCCCGAAGCCTCGTAGCTGAAAACAATAATTAATATCAAAAACCTTCTGCAGATGAACTTGGCGCGGCTCGGTTCTGCTGATTTCTCTCGGTCAAAATGAGTCCTAAGATCAGCTCACACAAAAAGGGAACGGAAATAGATTCCATCATTTTGGGAGTAGCTTCAAACAAGCTCTGGCTGTTTGTAGTCCATTACAAGATGTGCTGGGAGGGGCTGGGGATTCAGCTCAGCGGCACAGCGCCTGCCTGGCAAGCGCAAGGTCGTGAGTTCGATTCCTGGTACCGGGAAAAAAAAAAATGTGCTGGGACTCTGTCAAGGGCCCGATCTTGATTCCCCACCTAGATCTGTCCAGTGGCTCATGAGGGCCTGCACTTACTTCAGGATCTCTCTCAAGTGAGGCTCAGGCGGTGCATTGTGGGAGATGCTATATGCAAATAGTCTCGTCCACTGGGGAGAAAGAAATAGTATTATCCAAGACAAATTTCAAAAATGAATTTAATGTTTTAGGGTAGCAACTAAAAGAAAGCGCGTATATTTCAAACATCAAGAGTAAAATCATTTCAATGAAAAATATAATCAACTGCAAGAGTGAAGCACAATGAAAGAGAAAGAAACAAAATGTTAGAAATTACTCCAAATTTATTACTAATTAGGTTATACACAATGGAATAAATGTTCAAGGTAAAAGAAAAGGATTGTTAGTCAGAAGCTTTCAAGTATTTAGAGTTCTTTTCATCTCCAGCTAAAGTATATATAAAAAGACACATCTGGGCTTAGGGGTGTAGCTTAGTGGTAGAGCACATGCTTAGCTGAGCAAGCCCTAGGTTTGATTCCCCAGCACCAAAACAAAAACAAAAACAAAAAGACTACAAAGAAAAACAAAAGCAAGCTGATGTTGCTATACTAACACTTAACAGAATCAGTGAAATAGAAAACATACCAGAAAGCTTAGAATTTTCTTATTTTCTTACAGTACTGGGGATTGAACCCAGGGCCTTGTGCACACTAGACAAGCACTCTACCAGTAGCTACGTCCCCAGTGGAAAGTTTAGACTTTCACAGACCTGGCTCAGAATACACCTCAGTGGCACAGCATCCACCTACTATGCAAAGCTCTGGGTTTGATCTCCAGCACCACAAAAAAAAATAAACAAAAACAGAAAAAAGAGAAAAAGCACAAAACTGAATATTCTCTGCCAAGACTAATGCAAGAGAAAGAATGCACAAAGAAATCATTCTCAAATGCAAGAGACCCAAAATAAACTTCATTATACAACAAGGAAACTTCAAAAATACAAGTTTTCCTTGCATATGTGAAAATGAAATCATGCCTAGAAAAATATATTCATAATGCTTAAGATATTGGAAACCTTAGTTGTCCTATAACCGTAAGAGAAATTGAGCAAATAGCTTAAAATTGTAGAAAAATGGATACCTAAGACAATAATTAACAACTGCTCTACAGCCAGATAATTTAACCATGAAAAAGTTACAAATTTATAAAACATGAGTACACATCCCAATACAGCATGATACCATCATCATTTACATCACAAGACCATCATCATTTTGGTAGTGCTAGGGACTGAGCCCAGGGCTTTGTACACGTGTACTGTACCTCTGAGATCCACCCATACCACATTTTTCTTTTTTTTTTTCTTTTTTGTTGAACCCAGGGCCTCACCCATGCTAGGCAAGTGTGCTACCACTGAGCTACACCCTTAGCCTCTACTTTTTTATATACAAAAAAATTACATGCTAAAGTTACTGAACCATATCTTACAGAGCTTTTTTGTAACACATTAGTAAACATAATCAAGTTAAGTATTAAAGATAGTCCAAGCCCAGCATGGTGGTGCACACCTCTAATCCCAGCACTCTGGGAAGCCGAGGCAGGAGGATCACTAATCTAAGCCCAGGTTGGGCAACTTAGCAAGACCCTGTCTCAAAATAAAAAATGGGCTGGGATGTAGCTCAGTGCAAAGGTCCTGGGTTCACTCCCCAAAACAAAACAAAAAAAAAGGAAATAATATCCAAGTTGAGTTTACCTAGGAATGAAAGGTTAACATCAGAAAATCAATAAATCATGATCAATAATGACCATATTTATTAGCAAATCCTTTCATTCATTCACACATTCAAGTACTTATCATGTATTATGAGCCAGTTGTAGTTCTAGGTGTTTGAGGCTTACCAATGAATGAACTGATTGTGATAGAAGACAGAGGTAAAGCAATCAACAAGTCCAAGAAGAATTCAGCCTCTGCAATTCTTAAATATTGGGAAACCTTTATGGAGGACTGGGTATTTTTTTAAAAACTATACCCATTGAGTCAATAGAACGGAGAGTATATTAGAATTTTGAAGAAAAAAATGCAATTTTTACTATTTTTAATCAGAATTATAGTGGAGGTCATAATCACTCCTATAAAGGCAAAAATTATCAAACAATTGAAGTAGAAAAATAATAGTCATTACCTAAAGATGATATGATTGATTGCTGGAGCACCAAGAAAATGTGTATGTAAGTGCTCTGCCCTATCACTCCCAAAATTCATATTTATAATCTAAGCCCCAATGTGACTGTGAAGCCAGAACCTCACTTTATGGTAGGTGAGGTTGAAAGGGTGCAAAGCTAATGCTACAGGGCTGTGATCTTATCACAGGAGAAAGAAACGGGCCTTGTCTCAGTCTCATGAAAGATACTAGTACTGAGATGGTGTTCAAGGAAAAAAGATATCTTAAGCAGCTTTGAGACTGAGTAATAGGTAGAGGATGGAAATATTTTTGTTTTGTTAGTTTCGTTTTTGAGACAAGGTCTCGCTACATAGTGCAGGCCAGCCTTGAACTCACTACAGAGCCTAGGCTGTCCTTGAACTCATGGTGATCCTGCTGCCTCGGTCTCTGGAGTGCTGGGATGACAGGTGTGTGATACCTCACCAGGCCTGGAAATGTTTTTAAGTGCACTCTAGAAATAAGGACAGTAAGGGCTGTTCTGGTGATTTGTCATTTGAGGATGAGGAACAGGTTATTAGAAAATGGAGAGAAGAGCTGAGTGTGGTAGTACATGCCTCCAATCCCAACTATTTAGGAGACCGAGGCAGAAGGCCACCGAGTTCGAGGCCACTTGTGCAATTTAGCAAGGCCCCATCTCAAAATTTAAAACTGGGGCCTGGTAGTGCATGCCTACAATCTCAGCATTCTAAGATGCTGAGGCTACAGGATCAAGTCCAGCCAAGGGAGCTTAGTGAGAGTCTGTCTCAAAATAAAAAAAGACAAGGGGATGTAGGTCAGTGTGAAAGACCTGAGTTGAATCCCCAGTACCACAGAAAAAACAGGGCTGGTTGCCAGGTATGGTGGCATATACCTGTAATCTGGCATGCAGGAGGCTGAGGCAGGCAGATCACTGTAAGTTCGAGGCCAGCCTGAACCAATCGTGAGACCCTGTCTCAAAAAACACACAAAAACAAAAACAAGAAAATAGGGCTTGAGACAGGGTCTCAAGGAGCTCAGGGATGTAGGTCAGCAGCAGAATGCTTGCCTAGCATGGGTTAAATCCCTAGCATCACTGAAAAAGAAAATTGGATGAGAAAGAGGCAGTTCTTCATATGTGTCATAAAGATCTTGGCAGAGTACACTTATAGCCTAACAATTTGTGACAGGTAGAACTTGCGAGTGGTAAAATAAATTTATTTGAGGTTTGCAATTCAACTGTTGAAGGAACAGCTTGGTTCCACCTGATGTTTAGTAAAACACCTAAGGGGAGAGCTGAATCCATCAAAGAACTGTTAAGCAAAAAGGAAACAGAGCCAGGCATGGTGGCACATGCCTATAATCCCAGTATTCGGGAGGCTGAGGCAGGAGGATCGCTGCGAGTTCAAGACCAGCCTGTGCTACAAAGTGAGCTCAAGGCCAGCCTGAACTGCATAGCGAGACCCTGTCTCAAAAAAGACAAAAAAAAACAAAAAACAAACACACAAAAAAACTTCTCAGCCGATCCACACTGCGAAAGCTGAGAAAGCTTGGACTAAAGAAAATACTAAAACTGTGAGCTAAACAATGATTTGGTAAAAGCATCATGTTTAGGACTCACAGGTGGGACATAACCAATCTCAACAGAAGTGAAGAATAGACTGGATTATACTAGCGCAGAAAGTGCCTCTTAGATCTAACATAGTCCCAGAAGTCGAGAGAAGGTGGACTTATTAGATTTTACAAGAAAACATAGGGATAATTGCTGCAAATGTGGAGTAACCATTAAGGGGGTAGGGACCATTTCCTTCTTGGCACACTCAGCACAATCAGTGGGGGTTGGGGACACACCCGGAAGAATGTCTTTCAACAGTCCACCTGGACCTGTATCAACTTCACTTCTGGAGAATTTTTATGTGAATCGCCACACTGGCAGCCACTAACCTACAAGGGGTAGGGCCAAATCTATGCAATTATCTCCTACAGGTATGTCCAACCTGCAGCCTGCAGGCTGCTGTGTTGTTTTAATCTTATCATACAAAATATAAAAAAATAAAGGAACTCTTGTTACTTATATACATTAACTATATTATATGTGGCCCAAACAAGCCAAAAGGTTGGACACCCATGCATAGCTTTTATTAATGCTACCGTCGCTAGGGGTCCAAGCACCAAATGAGGCTGATGTGCAGTGGTGACCTCACCTATGACCCCTAAGAGCTCAGACTCAGGTATATGTGAACCAATTCGAGGAGGTCAGCAATGCTGCTCACTGGTAGATCACTTACCTACTATGTGTGAGGCACTAGAGTCAATCCCAGCACTACAAAAGTTCCACAGGGAACCTACATACCGTATTTCATACTCTGAGGATGGCACCTATGCCAGTGAGAGTCATTACAACTCACACAAAGCAGTTAAGACTAACCAATGATCTTTGGTGTCACTGTCAATATTTAAGGGTGGCCACAGAGGGGCTAAATAGCAACACTGATACCCTCACATTTATAGGCCTTCTCCCCATGGTGAACTCTTGCATGTTTGCTTAAGCGTGAGGAAACAGCAAACGCTTTCCCACATTCCTTACAGATGTAAGGTTTCTCTCCAGTGTGCGTTCGCATGTGAATGTTAAGGGATGTGGAGTATACAAACGCCTTCCCACAGATGTTGCACACAAAGGGCTTTTCCCCACTGTGAATTTTCAAATGTTTAGTACGGTGGGAAGAAGTAATAAAGGTTTTCCCACAATGAACACACTCAAAAGGCTTCTCGCCTGTGTGTGTTCTCACATGGTGAATAAGGCCTGAGGTCCTAGTGAAGGCTTTCCCACACTGCTTACACTGAAAGGGCTTCTCTCCACTGTGAATGCGTACGTGGGTGGCAAGGCCTGAGTACTGAGTGAAGGCTTTCCCACAGTCCTTACATTCATAGGGTTTGACTCCAGTGTGTGTTCTTATATGTTCAGTAAGCTGAGTGGATCTCGAGAAAGCTTTCCCACATTCCTTACACTCGTAAGGCTTCTCTCCAGTGTGAACTCGTAAGTGTTCAGTCAGGCCTGACCACCTAAGGAAGGCTTTCCCACATTCCACACATTTGTACGATTTTATTCCAGTGTGAATTCTCATGTGATCGTTAAGGTATGTGTTATTTTTAAAGCACTTTCCACACTCCTTACATTGAAAGGGCTTTTCATCACTATGAGTTTTTATATGTGCAGACAGCTGAGAAAAAGTAGCAAAGCACTTTCCACATTCCTTACATTTTTTGTTTTTCTCTTTAGAATGAACTGTTACATATTGATTTAGGTGAGAGGAAACTGTGAAAGCTCTCCAACATTCCTTGCATTCACAAAGTGTTTGTTCAGTGTGGGTTTCCATGGGATTATTAAGGCATGGAAAATACTGAAAGCCCTTTCCAAACTCCTCCATTTTGTAGGGATTTCTTCCATTCAAAATTTGAAGATGCACGGCAAGGCTTGTGGGGTGAATATATCCGCTCTCGTACTTCTTCCATTCATAGGGGTCTCCTTCATTATGAGTTTGCACATCCATCTGAAGGTATGATGGATTAAAAAAGGCATTCCCACAATCCCTGCACTCAAAGGGTTTGTCTCTCATGCAGGTTGTCTGGTATGCAATATTCGGAGTTAGGCTGAAGATGTTTCCATACTGATCAATCTCAGAAAAGTTCTGTCCAGTAGAGGTGTTCTGCAGAGTAAGGATGTCTTCTCCATACCAAATATACCCAGAAGTATATTCTTGGTTTTGTGTTCCCATGTGTGTATTAAGGAAAAACTGTTCACCGAAGACTTCTCCATATGGCTTATATTCATAGAGCTCCTCTCCATTGTGGCTTCTCACCTGTGGATGAAGGGATAAAAGAGGATAAAGGAATTTTTCAAACACGTGAAATACGAGATTTTTATAGGTAAGAACATTTCAACAATTATAATGACTTTTGCAATTGCTTTTATATGCACTGATTTCCTGACTTCTTTATTTCTTCCAAATTGAATGATGGATTTTTTTTTTTTTTTTGCCAGAACCATGTGTTGTGGACTATAATTGTAAAACAAATACATTTTCATAAAATTGCTTAAAATCCTGTGTCTGGTTGTCTATTTACATGTGTAGGAATGTGTCTCTGTAGGAACTTTGCACTATAATCTTCACAATAGTTTTGGGGTGTGTCCTAACTCTTCATTTTCAGAGTATCTGCCCAGAGACACTGCTTCCTCTTGGGTGCATGTTACTTCTCTCACACTCACTCATGTGTGCTGATTTTCTACAGAAGAATTTCCAATTTTTTCTGACAGTGTGACATAAAAACTACCCTTGCTTGGGTTGGATATGCAACTCAGTTGTAGACCATATGTCCAACATGTCTGAGACCCTGGGTTCAACCCCCAGTACTGCTACACAAAAGAAAAGGAAAGAAATAGCCCTTGTTAATCTTACCATTTCCATCTCTTTGGAAGTTTCTTCCCTAAAATAATCCACAAATTCTGATCCTTTGGTTACTGGTTGTAGCTCCAATTCTAAAGTTAAAGAGAAAGAAAAACACAGAGATTTGGAGAAATGAATGGTATGTACACGGAGTTAAAAGTGATAAGGGTCATCTGAGCAACTACTTTGAAGATAATAATAAGCAATGTACTAACCATGGTTACTCTCCTGCTATCTTGTTTTGAAATTTTGTATCATTGTTTTTATTGTTTTTTTTCCACTTTAAAATAAAAAATGTGATAAGGGTCCTTTGTCCTTGTTTTCAAGTTAAACATGGTAAGAAAATAGAAGCACAGAGACCTTTGGGGATTTTGGTATGTTAAAAAGCTGGCAATAGGGATAGGATTGTAGCTCAGTGGAAAGCCCTTGTCTAATGTTAAGTGAGACCCTAGGTTTGATCCTAGCACTGGGAAAAAATAAAGGCAATAATAAGGATGCAAGATCAACATTTTAGAGAGCTTGCTGCAAATTGATTCTAAGAGAATTATAGTGAAAGTTATCAGAAAAAGAAAGTAAGAAAGATCTGAAAAAAGATCCTACATTAAAACAATTTTTAAAAAAGCACAGGTAGCTTTGTGAGACCTAAGAATGTTTGCATGGAGGGAAAGTAATATGTTATGCGAAGTTGACAACGCTCTAAAATCTAAGAAAAATGACTTCAATCTTCTGGAAAAAAACTGCACCTTTAGAAACTTTCATTATACTTGCAAAACCATAGGGAACTCGTAAAAAGGGTTTGTCTTCACAAATACTCACGTTGGAGAACTCCAGTTTCTGCTGTGTTTAGTTCTTCTTGTTTTAACCAGGAGATCAGACTAGGGATGAAGTACTGGTATCCTGTACAGGTGGAAAGATGCACGAAGGGTAGCAGCTCACGCAACGAATGGCGAGCCTTCCTATGACTATGGAATTAGAGCTCTAGTGAAAGCAATGTAATTATTCCAAAGTGGGTAAAAATGTAAATACCAGGGGCTGAGGTGTAGCTCAGCAGTAGAATGCATACTCGTCGTATGTGCGTCCAGGGTTCAATTATCAGCACCAAAAGGAAAAAGCAAATACATATCCCCATTCCTGGGCCCCTAAAAAATAGCTTATCTCTAACCCCTGAAAACCAAATGCTGGCTGCTATGCACATTACAAAACACTAAGATTTAAGTAGACAAAAGTAGATTTAAGTAGATAAAGTGTACAAAAATGCTTGCTGTCATGGGGAAATAACCCTTGCCACTGATTCTCAAACCTTCGAGTGTGCCAGACTATCCTGGAGGGCTTCTGAACCGGTGACGGAGCCTCAACCCCAGAGTTTCCAACTGAGTCTGCCAAAGGTGGAGAAGGAAAATGTACATTCCTAACCACCGGAAGCTCATGCTGTTGACGAGATTTTAAAAGTTGTCACCACAGCTGAGCATGGTGGTCACACCTATAATCACAGCTCTCTGGGTGGCTGAGCCAGGAGGATGGCAAAGTCAAGACCAGCTAGCCAGCTAGCCAGCCTGGGCAACTTAGCGAGACGGTCTCAAAATAAAAAATAAACAAGGGCTGGGCATGTAGCTCAGTGTGAAGGTCTGGATGGATTCCATCCCCAGTTAGCAAAATAATAATAATAATTATTATTATTTATTTATTAATTAATTTTTAAAAATAACATTAGATTAAAATGTAATACAGCACAGACTATGGCTCTGCTACTTCCCACTGTACTCAGAATGGATATGACCAATTGTGCACCATAGTGATAAACATGTATTTGCTCCATAACAAGCCACAAGCAACACCAGTATCTTACCCACTGACGACAGGTTCTCGTAGTTTTCTAGCATCACTTCTCTGTATAGGTTTCTCTGAGTTGTGTCCAGTAAAGTCCACTCCTCCTGGGTGAACTCCAGAGCCACATCATCAAAGGTCACTGAGTCCTAAAGCATTATGCACATGCTGGTTTGAGCCAATTAGCAGTTCTGCCAATGTTTACTGGAGAGCTGGGAGCGGGAGCTAATGCTTACACATGTTCTGAGTCCTCCCATGGTCCATTACCAGGACTGAATGATCCTAAGGCTCCTGTCTCTCTCCAGGCTCACTCACTGGTGCACGTCCTAGTGCCGTACCCTCTAGCACCAGCTCATAAACACGAATTCATCACAGCACAACCCAGCTAGGAGCTTGTCTTATTAGTCTCCATTGCAGCACGCTCCTGAGCATGCTACAGACAACTGAGAAATGCCACTGAATAAACTCTGTGAGAAAAGGACACCTTCATCTGTCTTACTATCTCTCAGAGCATCTAGCATGGAGCACTCAGCATGTACTTGGCACCATGTGGCTCAAGGTTGATTATCAGGGCCGGGGAGGTGGCTCGGCGGCAGAGTGATTTCCTAGGGTGGCTGAGGCCTCACCCCCCACTCCCGCCATAAAAAGAATTAATTGAATGATTTTCAAGGTCATACCTCACCAATATAAGGCTCCATTCTATGGGGAAATTCAACTAGGGAATCACTCCTTGCATGAGGTTCTACTTCCTTTAAGAAGCTCTGGAGACTAGTATGTCTAGAAGGAAGTCTGTCTAGTCGGTGGAAGATTTCCATTTTGTAGAAGGATACCCTTTCTTTTTACCTGGTAACAATCTGCCTGGTAGTCAGCCACCACACTTTCTACCTTTGTCTCGTCTTCATAAAAGCAGATTGGTTCTGCGTAGAGAAGGCCTGGTAGAAAAGAAAGAAGGCATCAGAACTCAGAGTTGCCCACAATTCCTGCATTCACAGGTCAAGAAGTCATTCCACACAAGTTTGAAATTCCCCTGTAATACTGTACACTCAAGAAAACGCAAACAAATACATACTACTATAATAAAATGTGCTAGTAGTCATATTCGGTTTGTTTTGCTGATATTAGGAATTGAACGAAGGGTCTCACATCTGCTCGGCAATTGCTCTACCACTGAACCATATCCCTACCCCTTTATTTATTTATTTTTTTAAGCTTTGTTTTGAGCTAGGTATATAGCTCGATGGGAGAGTGCTTCCTAGCACGGGCAAGCCACTGGCTGGACCCCAAGGATGACAATCAATCAAACCCATATGTAACTTTACTTTTTAAAAAAGTAAATTTGATTTGGAGTCAGGATCTTGCTAAGTTTCCCAGATTGGCCTCAAACTCTCGATCTTGCCTCAGCCTCCTGAGTAGCTCTGATTGTAAGTGTCTGCCCCCAGGCCCAGCACACAGTAGTCACGTTTTATCCAGAGCCTGGGCAGATTGTAAACCATGCTGCCCACTGGAAAAAGGGGAATAGTCGCATTCTACAGGTAAGGGAAATTAAGTCCTGAAAAGTAGGACTCTATCTGCCCCTGGTGATAAGAACCCAGGAAGATTATGAAGCCCCTCTTCCCAAAACATATAAACTAAGGGGCTGAGCTACAAAATTCTGTGTTTGAAATGACCACCCTTGGTCTCTACTGTTTAGGAGCTCTAAACCAGAGTCTCTGAAAAAAAGCACCAAGGAAGACTCACCTTCCGACAAATCAACGGCTGCCATTCTGTGGCTCTGGCGCTGGAATGTGCCCCAACACTCCCTTTCCTGATGCTGAGACCACTTTCGGGCAGCTTAGGAATCCAAGCAGAGAGAGGCAATCTCCATTCCTCTTCATACAGGGTTGTATGAGGTCCTGCTGGTATCAATCATCAAGCAAAGACTGAACATCAGTCATCAAATCAAACATGACGCATGAGTGCTGTCTCCCTGCAGATAATACAGTGAAAGCCTCTAAAAATGGTGCACTTACCATCAATAGTGTTCTGAACACCAAGCAACATTTACCGAGGATCTGAGGTTTCTCCAATGCTTTTTCATATATCAGCTCATATAAGCATCACCACTATCCTATGCAATGGATACTGTGACCCATACTTATTACTGAAAGAAACCTATATTCAGACACCAATATTGAACAGTCAAGGGCCATCCAATTTGGAAGTGACGGACCAGGATTTGGGTGAAGTTAATTTTGCCTATGATTGTATTACTCCCTCAAAAGAACTGACGTTCTGTCACTGCACAGTGCAATTCAGTAGTCACTAGTGCTGCATGTTACTGATCACTGCATAGTACAGACATAGTATGACTGAAGAAGTTTTTGCTTAATCTTAATAAATTCTTTTTTTTTTTCCAGAACCAGGAATCGAACTCACGACCTCACGCATGCGAGGCAGACGCTGTGCCACTGAGCTAAATCCCCAGCCCCAATCTTAATAAATTCAGATTGAAATATAAAAAAGAACATGACTCCATTATCTACAAACTTTTAAATACATTTGGAATAACATGGATATCTGAGCCTGTGTGTGTGTATGTGTGTACACTGGTGATGAAACCCAAGGTTTCACACATGCTAAGTATGCACTCTATTACTAGTGACATCCTCAGCCCTTTTTAAAAAATGTTTTAAGACAGGATCTTACTAAGTTGCCGAGGTTGGTCTCAACCTGTCTCAGCCAACCATGCAGTAGGATGACAGGCACGCACCACCCCTCCCAGCAAGTGATGGATTATTTGAATGTACATACGCAGAAACTGAAAACTTCAAATCTGCTAACTTGCAGCTCAATTCAAGATCTAAGAACCTAGAGCTGGGGCTATCATTGCCCTGAAGGAAGCATTTTTCATCACGACAGGTTGCTATTTGTGAAAAGCAAACACAAAGTTTTAAGTGAACAGCTTTAATTACAACCATGGTCTGAGGCTGAGGCAGGAACATCATAAGTCTGAGGCCACCATGGGCTACAGAGCAAGACCATATCTCAAAAACAAAAACAAAAACAAAAACAAAAACCAGCCACGGTCATGTGACCTAAGGCATCAATCAGTATGTTGTAAATGGGAGAGGAAGGTTCCTTTATGCAGTCCTTCAGGATTGCTCTAACATGGTCAAGGACTTCACAGAGGCATTCTAGGGTACTCACAGGTCCTTGAGTGGAAGGCACAGCATTTTGTGAGGGAGACTACAGGGTGAAGCAGGCTGTGCCAAGCAGATAGGCAGCCAGGATCTATTGGGGGGGTGTCTAGGCAAGGTACATAAGCAGAAGTGTTGAAGAGACTCCAACTGTGCCTTTGAATGTCCGTCAGCCACAGTCAGGGGATGGCAGTGAGGAAGACCTATGCCAGAGACCAGGCTTATCACACTGGTACACCCAGTCACCACAAAAGAGGAAGATTTAAAATTTCCAATATACCGGAATACACGCACCTGTAATCCCAGCTACAGGGAGACTGAGGCAAGAAGATAGCTAGTTCAAGGCCAGCCTGGGTAACACACCAGGATCGTGTCTCAAAAATAAATAAATAAATAGAAACCAAGCCTGATGGTATATACCTACACTCCCAGAATTCTAGAGGCTTACACAGGAGGACTGTAAGTCTAAACCCAATCTGGTAACTGTGCAACTTAGTAAGACTCTGTCTCAAAATGAAAATTAAAAGCAAGGGCTGAGGATGTAGTGCAGTGGGAAGGCCCTGGGTCCAATCCTCTAGTACGGTGGTGGCAAACCTATGGCACGTGTGCCACAGTGGGCCGTTTGTATCAATGGAAGCTCTAAAAGCTTTGCCATCACTGCTGTAGTACCGATGGCAGATAGAGAGACAGAGAGACAGAGAGATAGGTAGGTAGGTAGGTAGGTAGGTAGGTAGGTAGATAGATAGACAGATAGATAGATGGATGGATGGATGGATGGGGCTCAATGGTAGAGCATTCGCCTAGCGTGCATAAGGTTGTATATTCAATCCTTAGCATGGTAAAATAATAACAATAGTAATAATAGTAAATAAAATTGACAATACAATCAGGAAAGAATGAGAATGTGACACATGCAATGAGGGCAGCTAGTTGCACCCAGATAAAAGAGCTGCAATCTTAAATCCCCAGGACACTCTGAGGCTCCCTTAACAGGGAAATATTTTGCCCTTTGATTTCCCAAAAGAGTAGCCTTGGTCTGCTTGAAGGCCCTTTGATCATCTCACTTGAGGGAGATACCGAGGAAGGACAAGCTATTTTTCTGAAGGCCTGCCAAAACCATTTGCTGTTGTCACCGGAGTGATAACTAGAGCAAACCCCAGGGGAACGAGTGCGCTGTACCCCATAATGCAAGAGCTAATACTTCATACAATAAATGATCCAACTCTAGTGGCACATAGCAGAAAAACCTGCCCAGCTATATGGACTGCGTTGGAAAGGTATTAGACTAAGCCCAGTGGAAGATAACCTTACACTGAGCCAAATTCACTGACATTTACTTACTAGGTATTCTAGATCTAACACAAGCTCATCAAGCTGGAGTGCAACTTGGACTCAGTGGTGAGCTCCAGTTAACTCGGTTGATGTGGCAGCTTTCCCAGCACGCTGAGGAGGGAACCTTAGAGACTAGGAATGTGGATTTATTACTTGTGATCTCTTCACGCCCTCTTCATCAACTTATGTTAAAGATCTAGAAGTCATGCTGTCATGAAGGTAGAGTTAGGTAAGTGAGAGGAACTCTCCATTCGTGAAAAGCTCTGCAGTTGTTCTCCTTCATTGGCCGGCTATGAGTGGAGGGGCCTCATTCATCAGGGACGAATTCTCTGATTGATGAGCATGAAGAGAACCCACAGCATCAAAGTGGGAATCATTTACCCTTTGAAAAAGCAATGAGATCCTATCAATTGTCAAGGACAGATACAATATTCCATCAGAACGGCCTGTGTGGAGCTGGGTGTGATGGTGCATACCTGTATCCCCAGAATTTAGGAGACTGGGGCAAGAGGGTCATAAGTTCAAGGCCAGCCTTGGCTACACAGCAAGAGATTGTTACACACACACACACACACACACACACACACACACACACTGAAATGGTCTGTCCTGCACAGACCATCAGTGGTGGCCGTGTTAGCATGGAATCCTCAAGAATGAAATAAATAAGCTGCATAATAGAGCAAGGATCGGGGCTGGGGATTTAGCTCAGCGGCAAAAGCGCTTGCCTAGCAAGCGCAAGGTCGTGAGTTCGGTTCCTGGTACCGGAGAAAAACAAAAAAAAAAAAAAACAATAGAGCAAGGATCAACAAATCCTGCAGTAAAGGATCTTATACTGTTTGGGGGATACGGGCCACATAATCTCGGTTACAACTATGCAACTCTTCCCTTGTAGTTTGAAATAAACCATAAACTGTATATAAACAAATGAGTGCCTAAGTATCAATAAAACTTTGTTTAGGAAAACAAACATCCAAACTCAGCCCACAGGCTGATGTGTTAACCTGCGTACTAGAATATTTCTTAGTCAAAGTAACAAAAAGTCTCATCTGGTAGCAAAAGCTTTCTTGACTCATACATTTTATATTCCTAGAGCCACAGCATTTTCTGTACCTAGATAACTCACAAACCTAGAGGCCTTTAACAAAAGACCTTGTACCATCAACACAATCTGTATGATACATTTGTCCTTGGGCTTTCCCCCAACGGAACCTCAGTTATTACCTGAATGACTATACTTCAGCAAAAGAAAATATACCCAAAGTGACCCTGAGGTGATATTACATCCTGGGGACTCAAAATACAATTATAAGCAGGTAGGGTGGCACATGCTGTAATCCTAGCCCTCTGAGAGGCTCAGGCAGAAAGATTAAAAGCTCAAGCCCAGCCTGGGCAACATACAGACTTAGCAAAACCCTGCCTCAAACCAAAATATGTTTTAAAAGGGCTGAGGATGTAGCTCACTGTGAAGGCCCTGGGTTCAATGCATAGTACTGCAAGAAAACACCATTATGGGCCACCACCAGTGAAAGCAGAAGCTATGGTCATCAGGTGATAGATTGTATCTTAACGCAATTTAATTTATAGAGGGCCCATTTAAAACACAGACCCAAAACACAGTTATTTCCCCAGTTGCTAAATGTATAAATGGGTTATAGAACTCTTGGGAACTGGTAGCATACCTAAAATTGGTTCTCTGACCAACAAGGTGAGGGCCATTATTGTAGAAGCTAATGGAGGTGCTGGGAATTCCCCAACCCCTAAAACAATCAAATATAAATGTACAACATTCCTGGGGAACTGCACAGAGTAATGTCACTATAAAAGAGCTAAAAGGACCATGGATCCTGATGCCGAATAAGTCCCTAGGAAAAATACTACTTTTGACTTGTGCAGAAGTCACATGGATCTTGGAGAAAGATTAGACCATTGTAAACTTAAACCCAGGCGATCGTTCCAATTGTAGCTGCTGCTCTAAATGTGTCTTCCATGAAACAAATAAGCACAACGGTTGGCACTTGGAATGCAGCTACCGATGAGGGACAGTGGCCTAATCTCCACACCATTCTGAAAAAGACCCGAGGATCCTTTATGCCACTGCCACCAGATTACATAAATTCTCCTGTCCAGTGCCGAAATGTGGTCACAGGTCTCCACAGTGCAAAAACATCACACTGGATAATACTGTGCAGATTGGATTCATCGACCAATAAATAACCAATAGTTTAAAGACCTTTGTAACACATACAAGGGGCTGGGGATTTAGCTCAGCGGCAAAAGCGCCTGCCTGGCAAGCGCAAGGTCGTGAGTTTGGTTCCCGGTACCAGAGAAAAATCAAATAAATACATACATACATACATACATACATACATACATAAAACAATAAA